TTGACACCCGCAGCGCCACCAATGCTCCAAATTGAAACTATGGGCGAGAAAATAAATGTGTAACAAAATGGAAGCTGCAGTCAACACAGCACAATCCACAATCCCATCCACCGTTGCCACCACAGAAGCCCAACAAGCACCCCTGCGTTGAGGGTAGCTTCCCAATGTGGCAATGAAACAGTTTTAATGAGATTTAATCTTTAAATTTCGCGCTTTATTTACGTGAGTGGCAGCACCAGCTCCAAAATGATGCAGCTAAAAAGACTATTCATGCCACATCGTGATAGTCGCCCATTAAAAAAATTATTTTATACAAAAGGAGTTAACTTCATTATGTTACTCAAGGGAAAATTTAATTAAAAGCGTGCGAAAGACTTAATTGATTATACCCAGTGCTACAGCGCTGCAAGGGGTTGTCATTATATGTAAGGGTGGCGGCTAATCGAGTAAATGGGTAAAAACTAACTTTATGAAACAGTTAGTCAAGCAGATGCAACTTGCAGGGTAAGTTATACTCTATCAGCAATAAAGCTCTTTAATTTTGTTGTGCATACGCCGCGTTGCACAGCATGCTAGATAACTCAAACTGACCGCTGGTCATTGAGAGCTGCTCAGCCTCCAGCAACTTGCCAAATATTTTAACATGTTTGTTGAAACATTTTATGAAAATTGCAGCCAAAATATTAGAGAGGGGAGCGAGCTGGCTCTAAAATAAAAGTTTACACAGTTAATAATACAACCATTTACTTTGCAAATATTTTGTCAGTAGAAATGGAGAAAAGAAGGAGAGGTCGCCAGTTGGGTGGCAGCCATAGGGCGGAAGGATGGCATTTGACCTAATCTCAAGTAAATTTTCACGCTTAGCATATGAGCCTTTGAATTTGGGAATGCAAAATGGCCGCAGGATGCAAGAGAAGTCTGGAGACGAGACGATAGTCAAGAGAGGCCAAATGTCGGTACCCCATAACCACCAACCCCCCTCCTAAAAAAAAACTAAAACCCACAACTGGGTTCGAGTCGAGATGAGTTGTGTTGAGTTGAGTTGAGTGCATGCAAATGTGTTTGCAATGGGTTAAATATGCTCTGCAGTACCCCATAGCTATATGCATATGCATTGTGTGCATGTGTGTGTCTGTCCTGCATGCTGTCTGCTCCTGCAACCTCCGCGTCCAGCATCTCCATTGGATTTTTCCGTGAATGAAGTGCAGTTGGGGTAGCGGGGAACAGTTGCAGCAGCAGAAAGGCAGCCATGAAAAATTAAAAAGGGATTTTGGAGCGGCAGCTGGTGAAAAGCGTTTGAATAGTAACTTGAACAAATTTTTTCTTTCTAGTATTTTTTTTGTTTTCTTTTTTAGGGAAAAAGGAGGAGGGCTGACAGCGTTTTTTGTAAGTGCCTCACAGCCACACAAGTTGAAAGATGATATAAGCCAGCATATTGGACATGTGCTTGCAGCTCTAGAGCATCACAAAAGTGGCCACAGTTGGTTGCCGTTTGCCGAATCTAGTGGGTTAAGAGCTATTTTCGAGCGCAGAGCTCGCTTAATTATGTGGCAAAATGATTGTGGGATGGGCTGTGTAAAGGGAGAATGCCAACTCGTTTAATTAAGTATGTGATATACTCAGGATATGATAAGAACTGTTTTACTGCTCAATAAGAAGCCCCATTGTGATTGGATTGTGGTGGGAGTATACTGATAGTAATTGGAAATTGGGAAATTGGTTGTATAGACTGAGTGGTAAGACACTTACTTAAGTTGAAGGCAATGCATTAAATTATCACTTATAATTCTCAGACGAGCTAGGGAGTCCTTTAAATAAGGAACACGAATCTTCAATCAGGTTGAAAGCTTAAGACATATATTCATATTTCATTATATCTATGCAATATTTTTCAAAATGGGATGTAAGCAAAAGTAAAAGTAAAACAACATAATTTTTTTGTTCTTTTTTTAATTATAGAGTGCTAATTTTAAAATTGATGAGAAAAGGATTTAATTAGATTATGTATTAGATATGTATATTCCATGGGATGTATTTACATACATATTGAAAACAGTTTTTACTATGCCTTATCGGCTTAACAAACTGGTAACTAATTCCTCAATTAAACTTCCCCACATTGGGTAGAAAACGAAAGTGAATTGAACACACTTTAGATATTATATAAGATCATATGGCCAAAATAAATCCTTCTGATTCAAAATGCTTTACTTAAACTGTAAGCTGTGCTGAACACAGAAAATGATTTGGAAGATTTTCTTTACACTTGTAACTATCAAAAACCTAATTGGATTTGTGCAATAGAAGTGGTCAAGAATTTAAGACCCGAAAGACTGGCATCTGCTGAAAATGACAAAAGCTGCTGGTAAATTGTCAAAGTGAGCAACAAGGAAAAAAGAACGAATGAAAATAAAAAAAGGAAAGAAAAGCTTACCTCTTGCAATAATGAAAATTCGTTGTAAAAAGTAGTTGGCAACTCGTAAAATTGTTGCCAATAGCTTCAAATGCTTTTGTTGCTCTTTACTTGGACCTCTATCTATATCTCTCTCTCTCTCTCCCTCTCTGTCTCTCTCTCTCTTTTAGTCAACTTTTATTATTACAGCTTCTGTAGATTTCGATGTTGTTGTTTTGGTATTAGCAGTTAAACAGTGTTGTTGTTGATGTTGTGTTCGCGTTTGCCGTGGTTGACGTGGATGAGGGTGAAGAGGGCGCGGGAGCTGTTGTTGCCATTGCCGATTGTCGACATTGTTATTGTTGTTGGTTTTTTTTTTTTTTTTTTTTGGCCGAGAATTTGGCCAGCGTTTTATTGTGTTTATTGTTTTAGTCACTTGGCAGCGCGTGAATTTGAATTCGCTTTAACCCTTTGCGCAATTTCAACAATTCGGAAAATTGCGAAATACTGCGGGATACATTGTCTATAGGCTTTGTCAAGTTTATTGTTTATTATTTGTTTAACTCAAAATGTCGAGCGCATAAAAAGAAATAAACAATAAAAAATGTAATACGTATTTTTTGTCAGATCGTTGAATGAGTTTTTCTGCAGCTTAAACCACCGCAACCCCTTGCTTACTTATATCGTTAACGCAATGCCAACGCATATGTCAAAAGATTTATGGCCATACAAAATGGCAGCTTGTTTTTTCCCTCCCACCCAAGTAATGAATGAAATTTGTTTCATTTTTCCCAGCACAAATATTCACAAACACACACTAGCACACATTCCCACACTTGCTGGGCAATTGAAATTTTGAGAGATTAAAGCGTCAACGTTCTTGTTGTTAACGTAAAAAATTCAAGAAAAATGATTGTTTAATTTATAAAATGTATTTGTTGGTGCTGTATTAAGCGTGAAAATGCTCGCCCCATTGCGCTGTCAGGCTGAAATTTGCACTTGAGCACACGCTTTAAAAATAAAATAAATGAACCACATGAAAAAATGGTCCGTTAAGAATGGGGAAATGGGTGCAACTCATTTCGGCTTTGCCACGCTTCTTCTGCATTTTTATCTTGCGCTCGCTCTGCACTCATTTGTGCCTCGAGGTCGCCAAGCCAACCAACTCATCCGTACCCGCACCCTGCACCCATAACCTTGGCAGCCTGGCAGCCTGGCAGCCTTCTGGGGCGCGGGCTGCTTCCTGGGCGCCGAATATCATTGGGCTAAGCTCAGACGCTTGAAGGACTTCCCTTTAGTTGGTGGTGCTGCTCTCTGACTGTGGATGTGGCTTCTGGCTTTGTCTCGTAATCTCGTAGTCCCATAGCCTCGTCTCCCTTTCCCTCGCCTCTTTTCACTTATTAGTCTGCGTTCTGCAAATATGTTTTTGCATACGAGGCACGTCTCCGTCATTTTTCTTCAACTTGTTCTTTATTTATGTTTCTCTACGTTTCCTTCATTTTATTATTATTATTACCATTGTTGTTCTCGCCACTGTTGTGCGTTTTTGGGGACAGCCTTCAGAAGTGCAAATGCGAGATTTGTTTACACCACATTAAATAGACGACAGAAAATGGCAAAAGAAAAAAGGGTCAGGGTTTTAAATTATAAAATATCGTTGAGCTTATGCCATTTTGAATTTGCTTCATATTTCAGCAGGTTTTTTTAAATACTCAACTTAATTATAAGAGGATTCAGGTGTCATGCTAAATTGCCTTTAGCACCTTGAAGATTAAGATTACCGATTACTTTAAATTTATTTTCAATTCAAATGATTTTTGCAAGAATTGATTTTAACGCTACAATGGATTTAATGAAAAACAGATATTTTATGATATGTTTCCGATTTATTTTTAAGCATAAATCACAAGTGTCCTAATTAAGTTCTTCTTGAATCCTTTCTTTATTTTATAAGGTTTCTTTGTGAGTTGTATATCAAGTTACGCGTTCTTAGTTTCTTTGTGAGTTGTATATCAAGTTACGCGTTCTTAGTGAAATGCATAGACGGTCTCAACCGAGAGTCAATATATTTGTTTAATGATTGATGTTAATTATAATTAAGCCACTTTTTGGCTAATACTATTCCCGAAAATCATTCCGAGACACTTCCAATAATACATTCAATTGCTGATTTACTTGACGACCCAATTTATTTTGCAGGCCTTGCCCTTTTCAAACTGCCTGAAGGCGGCCCCATCAAGTTGTAATTTGTAAATGAAATTGCTTTTTCAGGCATCGCTTTTTGCGGTTCCCCCGATTCAGTTTTTTTTGCCCCAAAAAATGCAAATTTATCAAATTGATTCAAGCGATGGATGTTGATGGCGGCCAATTTAAATGCCAAAAATTAATTACATGCCACACGTGCACACACATACACACACACACACTTACACACACACACACCAGTGCACAAAAATACGCACGCACACACAGAGCATCAGCATCACATGTTTTTTGTTATTTCTTTTGTTGGTAGTTGTTGCAGCTTACACCTTTTAATTGATTACACTCTCTCACACACACACACAGACACAGACACAGACACACATGTATACTTATGTATGCACACCTCTTCAAATTGTGTTGTTTGATTTTGGCTTATTGGAATTTCGTTGACACTTGGCCACTTTTAGGACTCGGTTCGAAAAAGACGTCAACACGGCACACGAAACACAAACTGTGTTGTCATTTGGCGTTTAACATTAGGTTTTGGCTATTGCCAATTGTTGGTGGCTAGGCTAAACGAGCCGCAACGAAATCGCGGCAAAACGAACATGGCCACGTTTCCGAGTTGACTGATTTGAGTTTAGCTGCTGGCCAAGACACGAGCCGCAGCACAGCACGAGCCACGGTCAAATCCGAACCACTGACTCTTATCACAGACGATGCCGTTAGTCGTGCCACTGTGTTGAATTTCCGCTTCGGTCCAAAGAGAGCAACGCAGACGCTCAGAACAGACACACACAGAGAGAGAGTGAGAGAGAGAGAGAGAGAGAGAGAGAGAGAACGAGAGCTGTTGCCGGCATTTGTTGGTGTGTGGTGAGTTTGTGTGTAGTACGCATTGGTGTAAGCTTGTTGAATGTTGCATGTGTCCAAATTTCGAGGCAGCACACTCTTATCAGTAGTGCGTAACAAATAACGTTGCAGGCGACATTTTATCGGTCAACTGTGCTACTGTTCATTTGTCCAACTGTCAAATCGACCGACTCTGACGAAAGTACAAGCGCCAGCAGCAATCATCCCGAAATATGTCCACATATCCTTCCCAATATCCTACTTCTGTCCAAACATTTCACTTGGCTCAGTGTTCTGACAAATGGCTTGAGGTTTATGCCAACAGAAAGGAAATTTTGTTCCGATTGGCATTAACATGTTGAAAGTGGAATTTTAGTACCGAGTTCATCAAAATAAGCTGTAAATCTAAATTGTGGACTTCTCGTTACGATTTGTCGAATTTTCAGTGTGATTTTCAACAGTTATGCTCAATAAATCACAGCTGTAGAAAAAATCAAATTTCACATTGTGTCAAAAAAAAGCTATTTTATACTTATTATAAAATAGATGCATTCTTCAAAACTACTTAGTGTATATTTTTGAAACTATTGTTGAGCTTTCAAAAATTTAAAGCCATTACTTTTATTTAAGGAGCACATATTTCATGCGTTCTTCATGTCGGATTCGCTTGATTAGCTTAATTCAATTAGTATGGATAAAGTTTTGACTTCTTTGTCAAAGTTACAACAAGCTGTGCTTGCTTTTAATTACAGGTATCTTTCAGTGTTCAGTTTTCCTCGCTATGATTCCCTACGCTAGGTGTCACTTTGATGTTGATTTTGCTTGAAGCCCTGCGATGTCATGTTTCAGTGTGAGATTGAAAACTTAGCAAGTTGCTGCTTCTAATTGATATATTGCCGCCTGCCTTCGTACAACATGTCCATGTCCCGTTTGTCAACCACAATGGCGACTTCCGCTTCGGCATCGTTGTCCTGCTGCTTCCACTCCCGCTCCTGCTTCTCGGTCTCGTCTGGTCTTCTCAGACTCCGTCGACGTCTCTGTCCCTGTCACTTTGGAACATTCATTTTGACTTTCATGCGATTGTCAACTGAGGACTGGGAGTGTTTTGTTTGCGGCCACTTCATCGTCCTTGCTCGTCCTCGTCATCGTCATCATCTGGTTAAGGGACTAAGTAGCGTCTGTGCATGGCTGTTGTTGTTGTTGCTTTAATGGTCTTGTCACTGTAACCAAAGAAATTCAATGCAGTTACTTGGCATATCAATGCGCCTGGTTGCTTGCATTGGCCGCTAAACAGGCCAAACTAATTACCGTGCATAATAAATCAGCGCTGTCATAGTTTGCCATTAGTTTGACACCACCCTCGTAGTGCAGATCCTTAGATCCTTGCTCCTTATTGGTACCATTTATGCAAATTGGCCTCAATAGTACAGGGTAAATGTGAGCCAAGAGCTGAGAGACGAAGTATCGAAGTATTGCTTTCGGACTTGCACGATGCATGCCTTGGGTCTGCCTTTTGCATTATTAATTGCAATTTGTTAACATTTTCCAAGAACTTGCTACAGCTATAACCTAATAAGCGACGCCCGTTACATACATATATTTTCTATATACACATGTATGTGATTATATGATGTTAGTCAACTTGTTCATGCTGACGATTCAGTTTCTTAATGCAAAATTAATTGATTTCCATTGAAAATGAAAGAGCTGACATGTTTTACTTAAAGTAATGGCAAGTGGGCGGCGGAGGGAAAGCTATTACTGTGAGAATGTGGGAAAAGAATTAATAATTGCATTGCTTTGGAAATGCTTTTAAAATAGAAACTTTTGGCGTGACTCGAATGATGATTGAGCTAAATTGCAACAAATTGTGAGGCAATTAGTTTGTGGAGAGGCAGGCATCATGACCAAGTATACTTGAAAGAGTACTTACAACTTTCTGTCGGCAACAACAATAATTATATTTTATAACATTTTTCATTATGGTACATTACACTTAACAAATATGGATATAATCAATAAAGCAAAAATGATTGATTTCTGTGAATTAAAAGAATAAATAAAAGTTACAATCCCAGGAATAAGTTGCAGCTCACCTCAACTGCCTGAAAAAGTTAACCTTTTTGCGCACTTCGGGTACATCGTGCATGTGATCATCGAGAAACTTGTATAAGGTGCCCGTTTGAGGGTCAAAATCGTTTTTAGGCAATCGATTGAACATAAAGTCGGGCGTTCCCCCTTTCGGTTCCAGTACCTTGCAGCGGGGCAGAAAAGGCTGTGTATACTCACGCATATAGCTAGATCTTAGCGGCGGTTCCGATTGCTCCTCGTAATCCACATGGCCATAGCGTGGACTACAATCGGATGAGAAGTCAGATAAACTGAAGCACGCTGAAGTCCTGTTCGCACTTACTCATCCATGTTAAAGGACTGAAAGTTGACGAGCTTGTGATCGGTGGTGCAAAGGGTGCGCTGTGGCTGTGAGCCCTGCTCAAGCATTATTTGTGTGGTTGTCTTCATGAGTGAACCATCAATATTCGACTCCCATAGCTGGGTCTTCCTCTTGCAAGACATGCCCACAACAAATTGGAAAGTGTGATGTAAATGCAAATACTTGTTTTTGAAAAAGTGCTTTTGATCAGTGGAACTCCGAATTTTATGTGTATAGATTAACTATACATTTTTCTTAACAATCTTATTTGACAGCGAAGCAAAAGTGTGGTAAATAAAATCAATACAAATATAGATCGTTTTTGTGAAGAGTTTTTAATAAATGTATTATTAGTTTGAAATATAGTTTAACAACTAAATTAGATCAGAAAGGCACAAAGTGTGTACATCGAACACCATGCAAATCTCATGCGGATTAATGGCAAGCCAAATCTGTCTGATGAAACTAACAAATGAAATGGAAATCGAATAGTCCTTGAGTGGGTCAGTGGGCAGAATATATATGTGCAGGCCTTATGGGGAATGAAATAATTGCAGTTGGAACAATTGGCCAGAACAATGGTGCTGGTTTTTGCAGTTTTCATTATGAGTTTGCCACCTTGTTTGCTTGACTCGACATTAATATGGGCTAATTAAACAAATATTGGATGATTGTGTGTGCGTTGATGTGTGCTGTACGTGTGTGCGTATGTTTGCGGGTGTGGTATGTTTATGCATATCATACGGCTTGCATCAACAATCGGCATCGATGACACCAGAAAGCAATGTTAAACAACATAATGCGATAGAATTGCCACACCAACAACACTTGCAACACAGGGAGCCAACGGTATGCATATAGATGCGTGCGAGTGAGATATTGTCTAATGGCTGGGATATGGCAGGGCGCAATATTTGCCATGCGTGGCATAAATTATGGGCCGCAATTTTACATACGTTGCATTTTGCAGCGCATAATTTGCATTTTTGAGCATTTTCACAGTGCATTGGGCATAATTAAAAGAGACCGCGACTGCAGCAAGCTAAATATTTTTTTTTTCCATTTTCCATTTAAATGCATTTAACTGAAAGCATTTTAAAATAGCTGGCCCAACTGGCTGTGCTGGAGGGAAAGTAATACTGTTAAACTACTCAAGTTGCTCACCTTAAAGATTGCACACTTGACTGGGTGTGTGGTGGGTGGTTTGGCAGCTGATGGTGGCAAGCGGCTGGCGGCCGGCGGCATGGGGCAGGCAGCCGTGGCGCACTTAACAAATTAATGTCAAGCCACAATAAAAGTCAACAGCTGGTTTGGTTTGCGGGGCAACCAGAGGCGAGGTTGCTTCTGCTCCAAAGGTGAAAGCAAAGTTGAGTGCAATGTCATGCAGAGACTTAGTGAGAGTTAAGGGCTAAGAGGGGCAGATGAGTGAAAGGGGCAGGGATAGCGCGTGCAGCCAAGAACGGAGAACAGAAGCTGCCACTCACACAGCAACATTTACAAATGCACAGAGAAAGACAGGGAGATAGTGTGAGAGAGAGAGAGAGATATATACTCGCATGCTTAAGCGCTGTGTGCCTGAGATTTTGCGCTTGACATATAATTTTTATGTCGCAACTCGCCATGCTTAGTGTATATACATATATATATATATATATATGTGCGTGTGTGTGTGTGTGGCGTCTGTGCATCCTTGTGCATCCTGCGCAAATGGCAAAAGTTTTGCCAGCACGCAGCACTTGCTCAACTCTTGATGACTGGGGTGTGAAATTTACGAGTTGCGAATCGCGAGTCCAAAAAGGCATATAATTATTTAGCACAGACACGCACACACACGACACACACACACATACCACAGCATTTATGCCTAAGCATGCAGACGTGAAACTTTAAATTGCATAGCTTGAGAAATGGCTTTAAATTTACACATCAAATTATTTACCGACAGCGCAGTAGACAATTAAGCAGCAAATGAGAGTTTAAAAAGACTTTCGTGTCTCACAGTCAATAATTTTTAGTTTACTAAGCAGCAAATGCGACTTTAAGAAGACTTCCGTGTCTCACAGTCAATAATTGTTAGTTTAGACTGAACGCGACCAGCACATACCAAGTATTAATAGACTAATTACAAGAAGCCGAAGTCAATGGATGTTCAAGTAAATGAGTCTCTGACCTCACTGAAAAAGTTGCTTACTGTCTACAATATTAAAAGTAAAATCGCTCAAGGCAAAAAACAAAAAGTCGGCGAACTTCAGGTGAAGAAATGTATTTATTTGTTTTTCGAATTGAAAGTAATCCTCTCAAGCCTAGTAAAAATTACATATAGAATGATCAACCTAACCAATCGATTTTTTTGAGGACTGCAATCATAGAACCTATTATCAAGTGTCTCTCTATCTCTCTCTCCCTCTCTCTTTCTCTCTCTCTCGCTACCCATGCTGTTAGTCACATATATATAAATACATATACTCATACAATTGGCAGTTAAAAAAAATGAAGAAAAGTTAAATAAAGTATGTTGAGTGGAATTCCATGAGCTTGGACGCTTTTGCCAACATCCATTCATATGCTGCTGCGGCTCCTGCTGCTTTAAATGAACTTCCTGGCAAAAACAACTTCACGGCACTTGGAGCCAACCACAATGGCAACAGCCCTGAGAGAGGGGGAGGGGAAAAATGCAGTTAAATGAGCGGAAATGCAAAATTAACTCGCCGCGAAAACATAGAACAAACAAAGAAATGGTTGTACAGCTAAAAAAACAAAGTAAAAGCAAAATGAAGAGGAATTGAGAATGAGAAAAAATGGAATACTGGGAGTGGCTGAGGAAAATGGAATAAACGTTGCCACTTGGCCAAATTTAATGTAAATATTTGGGCAACCACGAAAGAAAAGGCCTTGTACAAAAAATTGAACGTCTACCAGTGCAAGAAAGCTGCCTACAATTGGGTTAACTACGTTAAAGCAACGAAACGAAAAAGTTTAAAGCAATAATCAGCTAAAGGCAGTCTATTTTAAAGTAATTTAAACAATTTATTACCACATTTTCCGATTACATTCTGGCAAATGAATCGTAATCCTTATTGTGATTCACACATAAACAGCAGTGAAGTGTGCACGTCTAGCACCCTCAAGCAAATACCAACCCCATACTAAAAGCTACGTTCTCACAAAGTTGCTGCTTTCTCTATATATGTACATATTTGCCAAGGTAACGACCAGTATTGGCCAGACAACACACATACAGCGACAAAAAGCGCCCCTCCGCAGCAATCGTTTAAATCGCTTTGCCCCACACTCCACTCCGCCCAGCTGGGGTTTTTGCTCATGCTAAAAGGGTCTTTGAGAATATCCTTAAATGTTGAGCTTGATAAATAGAAAATGAAAATTGCAAATGATTTATCTGCAGCGCGTATCTTTATTTGTTGTTGTTCCTAACGCTGTTCTTGTTGCTGCCGCTGGTGACGCACTTTTGAGTATTTGAACTGGACGAAAATTGTATTTAATTGTTGTGCTGGCAGTTGGCCGTTGGTAATTGCAATACAGATATCATCAAGACAGGAAAAGAGAGAGAGGTACAGAGAGAGAGAGAGAGATAGAGAGAGCAAGCAAGCGAGCTGGACCTGGAAACTTACTCGTAAATTAAACAAACATTTTCACAGCGCGCAATGAAAATGACAATAAAAATAGCTTAAAATTTATGGCATACCAAACGAAACGAAATGGAACGAAACGAGAGCAGCAGCAACGGCAGCTTCTTGGCCCTTTTATTATTCTGCACTTGGTCCATACACCCACACACATACACATACACACCCACACTCCCAACCCAGTTGTAGTTGGCACTGAGTACGGCATCTGCCACTTGGCACTGACTTTTGCCTGAGGCAGACAGCGATCCACAAGAGAGAGAGAGGGAGAGTGAGAGAGAGATAGGGAGAGATTGAGAGAGGGAGAGAGGGAGAGAGAGAGAGACAGAGAAGCATCAAGCTGCCAGGGGCGACACATTCAGTCGCACTGACTTTTGCACAATTAATGGCGGCCAGCCTGACCCAACACCCCAACCCACTCCATCTACGCCCCTACACCCTGTCCATCCTCATCCCCACCAGTCTTGCGCAATTATTGCGCCATTGTGTGAGAACCTTTGCCAAGTGTCTGTGTCACCGCTAAATTTAACATAATCCTCGAACGCCGACGAGCCTCGAAGTCGTCGTCGCCGCCACTCCTTTTTGGCAGCTACCTCAACAACCCCCCCCCCCCCCCCCCGGCCCTACATCCCCTCTCCACCACCAACCACTGACGCATCCCTTTTGGCTCTCCTTGCATGTGATGTCTTTGTCCTGCGGTAAGCCTTTCTTTTGCCGCGCATAATTAATTTCACGTTCCTGCCAAAAATATGCGCCAGAATCGCGTCCGCTCTGCTCCACTTTGATTTGCTCTTTACGTTGTTGCTGTTGTTGTTGTTATTACAGACCCTTGTGAAGCTATGCTATTTATTTTGTTTTTGGCAAGCGCTTTCGAGTCGCAAGTAGCCAACTTGCCAATTGGCATTATTCAGTTGGCCCTAAGCAGGCTCAAAGCCGAGACAATTTGACTGGTAAAATTACGATAATGCCATCATTTCGATAAATAGCACAATTCAAAATTCTCAACACACAAATTAAGCCTAAACCCCAAAACCTTATTCTTGAAGAAGTGAAAATGATATATTGCAGATATTTCCCCAGCAACAGTTCTTGAAAAATATGTATATAATTTTTCCATGCAACATTCAATCACACACGATAAATTTCGCTGGCTTTATTCATAATTGCTTCACAGCTGCAACCGATAACAATTTAAATCCATTGTTGTCAATAAACAATTATTGCAATTCCAGCAAAACAAAGTGGAGAGCACACTTCATGCTCTTCCCTCACCACCCTCTTCCCAACCATTACACGCCTTTTGGGCTGTCAGCCCCATTAGCTGCAGGCCGCAGTCGACCATAAGCGGACCAGAGCCAATGCCATTGCCGTTTGCTGAATCGCTGATATTTTTATCTTCAAAAAAAAAAAAGAAAAAGAAAAACGCCGCCAGAGAAGGCGACAGACAGACGGACACTGTCCCAAACGAAATTCATTGCAAAATGCTAAAAAATGGCACACGATAAAAAAATTAACAAAACAAAAATAAACGTCACGCCGAAGATTACATACACTTGCAGACTGGAAATAAACTGTCGAAACTCTTACGTTTACTATAATTAAGAAAACCGATCGAGAAAACTGTATGATGTAGTAGTCTTGCTTATCAAGAATATACGTATATATACTTTAGGGGTCGGGAACGACTCTTGGAATCGTTACAAACTTCACGACAAATTCTAAAAGGATCTGCAAGGGTATAAGGAACAATTGAATGGAAATGAAGAGGAGGTGTGGGGATCAATGAAATGGCGCCCAACGGGCCACGAGGAAAGGGTAGTACTAAATAAAGTTGCAGTAAAAACTATTAGAGGCGACGGCGTACCAAAACAAAAAAGCATCACTAGAAATGCCCAAAGCATACAAATAGAGAAAATATGTGTGGTTCAGTGAAGTTGGCACGACCAGGAGATATCCTGTATTTGTCTCATATTTCTCATTTCTCATTTTTAGCTCTGCTGGCTTTCAATAGTTTTGACGAAAATCTTATGGTTCTAGCTGATATATTTACCTAAACAAGCTTACTAAATGTGCGTATCTCGATATTTATGGATACTTTATCGAAAGGTTGCTTAAAAATACATTAATTGTTACTCTCATTCTGTCATATTCATACCCACTATTATTAGAAGCAGTGCATACAAGAAGAGATTGAAAAAATTTGGCCATATTTGCAATTGGACAGGCAGTTGGGGTTGGGGTTGGGGTTGGTGTGTGCCGGCGGAGACCGATAAAAGAGCAGACAGCAACCGAAAGCATTCGGAGAAGCTGCAACCGAAATAGGAAATTACAAACGAATCGTTCGTGTGTATTTCTGTGTGTATTTCTGTGTGTATTCTGTGTGTGTTTGTGTGCGTGCGTGTGGAGGTGTGTATTTTACAGATGTCTGGCATCAGAAGACACTTCTGAGGCGGCAAAATCACAAAGTGTTTAATTCAATATGAGGCCAGGGACACTGGGCAACATGCAATGAACAGTGGCATGCAGCAAATGGTGGCCTGCTAGCAGTCAAAAGTTTGCCCTCTTACATTGACTCTTAAATTTATGTGCAAACTTTTAGTGTGCCCATGTACGAATGCGCAGCTGTGTGTGTATCTGGGTTTGGGTGTTTGTGTGTGTGTTTGGAAATTATGCAATTTAAGCGCATAAATTTCACGACTCGACCCGAGGCTAAGGAACAGCCGCGTCGTCTGCTAGCCCATAACTTAACAGACTTAACGATTGTCTAATTAAAGCCAGTTCAGCGGACGTAGCCCCTTTCCTGTCTCCCGGCTATACAAATGCCTTCCGTGGGTGGGGGTAGGTAGGATTCATAAGCAATTCGATTAACTCTTGCTAGGACGAAGCTGCGAATTCTTCGCTTATAGTAAATACTTGTGAGTTCTTAAATTGAAAATAAAATTAAGAATTGCATTTGTTAACTTAAATATAAATATTTATATAATATTTGTGACGAAAAATACAAGGACAGATTTAAAAAATGCAATAATTGAAAATAAACGTCTCAAATTAAATGTTTTGATAAAAATACATATGTAAAAATGCATACATCATATTCATAGAATATTCACAGTTCGTTGAGCTGGCACATTGTGAATTTTTAAGCTGCTATGGACCGCTCGTAAAAATAAAAGTTGGCAACACTCCCCGGAGACAAATCAGTTTGATTTTGATTGCACCTTTTATGGCCTTTGGCACCTTATAACTTTTTTCCACCTTAAGCGACCTTGCCTATCGCGGTCCGCCAGCTGCGCAGCTTTGGATGCTTTTGGCCATGTTGATATCTTTCATCTGTCTGCCGTCTGTTTTAATTCTCCTAACGTAGTTGTTTTACGTGGTTGTTATGGTTGCTCGCTGACGGTTGTTGTTTCTTGGTTGTTGGTTGTTGAGTGTTTGTTATTTGCAGTCAACGTTATTGGCACGTGTTTTTGTATGTTTTTCATCATGGTCGTCGCTGTCTTTTATTTCTTGGGATAAGCTCGTAAAACTTTTGGCAACAAAAAAAAAGGAAAACAAAACGTTCGAAAAACTTGACTTGTACTTGTGTATTTTATGCGTGCTTCGTGTCGCAACCGCCAAAAAAAAAGTGGGCAAAAGCACACGCCGAGCCACTTGGCCAGGCCAAAGTCTTCAACATTTTGTCTTAACAATTTAATGACTCACTAGGGGGAGGGGTGGCTGTGCCAGCCGGTGTATTCTGTTAAAACAAACGGCGTGACAACACAGACATGAAATATTTTCAACCGTATGCGGAAACACCAAAATATCGTCTGGACTTGACGATACTCTAAGTTAATTCAGTATACAATTGAATAGAAATTTGTATGATACACTTTCACATATAAGTTCAGAATCTGCGACGGATATAAATAACGTTTTTAGTTAAACGTATTTCATTAAGATAGAGTGCTCAAAATTAGAGCAAATCTGACGGGCCATTTGCACAGGAAACTCATCACTTTGTTTCGACTGTTGCTGCTGCTGTTCTAGATGTGTCAAAAAAAAAAAAAAAAAAAAATGCTTTGCAAGTGAAATGTCAATAATGTTTTATGGCATTGTAGCGTAAGGCTTCAAAAACTCGAACTTCATAAAGTCACACTGAACGAAACTTTGAAAACTTGCTTAAAATATTGCATATTGACAATATAGATATAATGAATGGAATAGGCAGAAGAAAACATTTCGAAAAGCTTACAATTTTTATATTCTTCTAATTTAATTGAATCATTTATCAGCAATAAATTACACCGTAACGAAGCTGAAAAAAGTGTATCCCGTAGTCGGCTTATTATTATTTTAAAAAATTAGATTCTATTGGAGAAAGGAGGTTTTGTTTAGCAGTGTAGCAACAACAGAATATTTTCATTTGGTTCGCAAAATCTTTGACATGCAACAGGAATCAAAAGCAATGGGCGGTAAAAAAAAGAACTGGGGACATGGGCCTGTGTTTGCCGAGGGTGCTGGCTAACGGTGCAGTGGGGGGGAGGCGCCATTTTGTGGCCTGTCTTGCGGTGTCGCCTGAAATTGGCCGGCAAACAAGGCAACAACCACTGATAGGCCAAAAGTGGTATACAAAGAGCGGAGGAGAGAGAAAGGCACACAAAAAACAAATGTCGAAATCCAATTCAAAATGCCATCAGACATTCTAATTTCATTCATTTCTTGATACAATCAAGCGAGCTGCTGGCTGGTGTGGGTGAAGCAGAACCAAGTCCGAAACTCAGTTCCTTATGTCACATAGAATCTGATTGTGATAACCAACAAATACAACGCCATTGCTGCAAACGAATCGTTTGCTCCTTCTTCGGCATAAATTGCGGCACAAAATTGAATTTTAATCTGTGATTTCTAAATTCTGCATATGACCAACCAAATGCCATTTGCACAGAGAAATATATTATAACTACGATTGTCCACTGCCGAGGATGGGAAAGTTATGATTTGAAAGTGGACTTGAAATATCTTTAGGTGCTCCATTGAAGTTTCTCACACGTTTTGCATTTTGCATATTTTCAATCTGGGCACGCAACACTTCAGCTGTTTCCTTTACTTAGTTCTAAGCGTTAAAATGTTGTACTTTTTTTTGTTGTATTTTTCCCCATGAATTCTTCCTCTTTTCTGAACATTTTATGCTTTAGAAACTGGGCCAGGCGAATGCCACAGAACCACTTGGAAAGCGAGCAAAGCGAAAGCAAAGAGTCAGAAAAAGAGTCATTTGGGACATTTTCTGATGCAACTGGACTCATTTTAAGTGTTTTCAGTGTGTCGCCTGCTGGTGTTCTGACTCATTTTTGTGCAAACTGTGTAAGTTGAACAGAATAAATATGAATTGGCTGTGACGGTTGCAACTTCAATATCTTTATTGAAACACAGTAATGCACATGGGATCAATTTATTGTTTGGCTAACGCTTAAAGAGATTTGCATTTAAGCTTTGATATCGAAATTGAGTAGTCATACAAAATGATAATTGGCATCATAAAGCAACAGTGCCGAACATAAATTAGTTTAAGATGCAATGCCAACAGCAACCAGAACAACAGTGCATATTAATTTCAACAACAACATACATGAATAAGGGACGAATGCAATCAGAAATTAATTGTGGCAATAATTGACTTATAAATAAATCCGACTATCGAAATAGGCGTATGTGTATGTGTGTGTGTATGTGCGTGCACCACAATGTAAGATCAAACCCAATGAAACTGCAGGTAAGTTAATTAGCTAGATAAGTTGATTTAAGGTCGCAGCCAACGGCGCGTATGATTTATTAATATAAGTGTGAGAGTGTAGTAGGAGTATCAGACAAATAGAGAGAGAGAGAGAGAGAGAGAGACAGGTAAAAAATGTTGGCAATTGCCTCAAGGAATTGTTATCTATTTGCATAATACAATAATTGACTTGCGTGGTTGCTATCCCTGTTAGTCGAATAAGTCCACTTAAAGCCATTCCCAGCCAACATAAGCTACTAAGGGTTAAAAGGCTTAACTAATATGAGGTGCACATGTTGCGTAACAATGACTCACCTGCAATCGTCAGCAGCAGCGGCAAAAAAACGCGTCTGATCCAGCTTCGATGTCTTGCCGACTGATAGAGACGTTTCTGGCTGCAACTGTAGCACAATGGCTGATACGGTTTCTTTATGGCTCTGATAAGGCTTTTAGCATTGCGATCCAAGCCAAACATGGGCAGCAACTCCTTTTCATTCTCAGCGCAGTTCTGCCACGAGATGTTCACCATTACTTTTTGCGCATGTGTCCAATCTTCGTCCTCCGTTTGATAAGCCGTGTGAGACTTGACCTTGTAGTTGACTGTTAATCCGCAGTTTGGCTGATCTGCCCGAGACGGCTGCATCCAGATTATTAGTTCGGTGGTGTCGAAATCAGCCAACTGGCCACGTCTGGGAAACACTTGAACAAGTGCCTCATTGCTGATGTCAATACTGAAGATTATGGGATGGTTGCCGAGATTGAGCAGGCTCAATTGACGCTTTTGCATGTGCGCAAATGGAGCTTGAAACTTCATGTTTGTTTGCGATACAATCAGTACATCTTTTGCAGCCATTTTCTGACAACCAATAAAGAGTTATTTTTACTGATTTGTCGAATTTTTTAACTTGACGTCACATTTCAGAGTTTTAAAGAAATACACAAAAGAAATTCGTTTATTTAGTGATTGTTTTAAACTAAACAAAAAGAGTTAATTTACACTCTACTGTCAAATTACAGTCAGCTAACTGAAGTTGGTAAATGTTTCATGGGTCCTATCATGAATGGCAAATATGTCCCATCCATAATATCAATACGAACGCTTGAGTCATTATGTAGATTACTCCTTGTGTGCTATGTACTCTTATTTGTCACATCGACAACATTATTAGCAACAAAAGTCCCATAAACGCTTTGGGGGCCCTTCAAACTACCGCAATTCCGCCAGCTTGGCCAATTTGGGGCTACCCTCGTCTTATTTTTGCTCCTTTTTTTTGTATTAAATGGCTGGCTTGAAGTGTGTCCTATGGGTCCGTCCGCTAGCCGTTTGTCTGCTGTCAACAACATTTGTACAACGTATTTTTTCATCTTTCGCTTAGCAGATTTATGAAAACGAAGTAAACGTACAAGGACGAAGGGAAGCAAAAAGAAAGCATTGTTATGCCAGTAGCCAGCCAGGACACTCGTTGACAGCAGGAAAAGCAGCAACTTTGGACAAAACGCTGCGTAGTTGAGCGCAGCTGCTTCAAAAATATAATAAATAAATAAACATAATTTATAAGTAGCAGATTTCTTCCGTCTGTGTTGGCATAAATGAATCAACCCACACACACACACACGCACAAGTAATCACACACGCATACACACACACAGTTTTTTCTTATTTTTTCCGTCTCTTCATTTTTGTCTGTCTGAATGGTTATGCCATCTCTGAGGGTATTTACCACAGCAAAGCTCTGAGACAAAAGAACGATAACAATGAATTTTTGTGGATAGCTGAATAATACGTAAACGTGACGTGGAGATGATGTGGAGAAAACTCAGCAACTCTTAAGTAAACTTTAAGTAAAAGATGCAACAAGTTTAATTTTGCAATTGTCTTTAATAAGATGCAAAGGAAACTTAGTCAAAATAAAGCCCAGCTACAAAATTCATAATATCACGATTTTCTTAACACTTTGATCCATATTTACAAATAGTGCACTTTGATTTGTCACATCCATGTATACTATATGCACGCCCACCCTCGAAAAACGCCCACCTCTCTGTAGTCCATATAAAAGAAGTCGACAGCAAAAACAAAGACATTTCCATCCGACTCGCTAACCGGAAGTCAAGAACACAAACGAACTAAAAGCCGCACTCTCAGCAACAGCGTCGCATATACACTCGTACTTATGTATATATATTTATGTATACATATGTATATATATGTATATATGCTCAAGTATATATCCACACATTTCGGGTGCCACACCCACATGCTCATGCTGGAGAAGTGTGGGGCAGCTAAAGAGGGCCGCCGCAATCAAATGGTTCCATATTTCTTGACAATTTAGGACACCATTAGCGAGAAATTATTACTGTGCAACGTAAGCGTCGCAGAGCTGTTGGGAGAGTCAGGGGAGAGCGGCGTGTGGAGTACTGTTGCTGGGCCGGGTGGGCGTTTAGGGTGGGCAAGGGTAGGGGCCATTCTCTGATTTTGGCGGGCAAAACGACAACATTGTGACACCCACCAACCCAGCAACGCCTCTAAAATGTGATGGAGAAAAAAAAAAGAAAATAGAAAAAAGTTAAAGTCGGGCGGCTGTTGAGTTCTCCATTTTTTGCATACACTTCGCGAAGGTATTTATATTTGTGACTGCACATGTAAGATGGGCATGGTTCATGAAGTGCCAAAAATAATGGCTCAGCTTAAAAAAATCCGAAACAAAGACAAGTTGGTTCATTAGATATTACTAAACATTTCCTGGAAATCTGATGAAAGAAAATAAATAAAAGAAGTTGCTAGTTCTTACAAACTTTTTAACTATTGAACTAACTATTACAACTAACTATTTAACTATTTTAATATTATTTTACATAACAACATTGAAAAATTGCTGAACAACATGATAATGTTTGCTTAGAACCAGCTCTTCTGTCTGCCCAGAAGAAGTACAAAATAGGGTATTCCATTTTCGGCGGTCCAAGGGGAGTAGTTATTATGTGTGGTGGGTTCTTTTTTGTGTCGCTCTGCTTTTGGGAGCGCGCGGGTAACTTATGTGGGTGCTTAAGTGAACCATTAGCGCCGTGCGTCATTAAGTTGTTTCCGCTTCGCTCATTTCTTCTACTGTTTTCAGCTGGCTGGGATGTGGCACGAGGTTGGCAAGGGTAGGCCTAGCACCCCGACTGCTTCCCGACTGAGACTGTTTTGAAGGGAGGAAACCGCGGATGTAGCATTGAAGCACGTACTCGTGCGCATATCGTGGGCTTGTGGCCCAAGTCATTAATGGTTATAGACTGAGTCCCGAGCAGATACAAACAGACCAGACTTTGGCCATGGCCACATCCCATCCCGTCTCCTTGACGCTTTCGGTTTTTATCCTCTTTTTTTCATCTTATTGCCTACCCATTGCGGTTCATTGACCAGACCCCAAGAGCAGGCGTCTTGATTTATAGGCAGCAGAGTTGTCTGCCCGTTTTGTGGCAACTCGTAATCATTTAAGTTAGCTCAACATATTTGAGTTGGTGCTCTATATTTTTCGACACAATTAAATGAGTTCAGCAAATTGATGGGCGAAGTGTGAGTTGGACACAGCTTCAGTTTCAGCAAACAGGTCGAATGGCAGCTGTGTCAAGCACAAAATTCAATTAAACGCAAATCAGTGTAGTAAGCACATGAAATAACGTCCTACATGAACTGTCCAAAAACCCAACTCGCACTCCCGTCCCAATGGAATGGAGCATAGAAAGCAGCTGGCAGCAAACAACAACAGGAGCTGGCTATTATAGTCCTGGCTCGTTCTGGCTCCTGTTCATTTCACCTTTGGCTCGGCTAAAAGGTACTTAAATGCCACAGCAGACAAGCGAGGCACATACGCACCCAGAGGACGCCACAATCAGCTATGCAACGGTGCAACGCGTCGTATGCGTGTTTTGATGCTAGCTGATGGCAAATAAAACCAATTGGGTGGTGGTCACATCTAAAGCAGTTACAGTCATTACCAGTTTAAGTGGATTTGATGAGCGTTTATGTGTGCACACTGCGGTGTGGTGTTGTGCACTCAGCATGAGTTCCGAGCATGAGCACGTGATATGTCCGGCTGGCCGAGGTCAAATTTCTGGTTTATAGAAATGCTTAACATCTGTTGGCCACCCATGTTCATTTAATTGAATGTAGTTTACAAGCAAACTACATTTTGTTCAAATAAATAATATTGAACTATAAATATAATTCTTAACAAATAAAAACAAATATCTAGATTTCTTCCATAATTGAACACCATATGAAATATATAATTGGTAGTTCTGTTGCCTTCAAGCGTGAAAATTGAGTATGGTCAATTCTGGTTGTATTTTAATACGTTAAGAATCGCTGCTGATGATGCGGCTATCGACACAAATTGGCTTATCGCACATTCTAATGGCGTATACCACGCCCATTGCATTTGCATGTTTATTGTGAGGTGACTTTATGGCTGCCAAAGCAATAATTAACGCTTATTTACAAGCTCACAATCCACACAACACACACAATCTGGCAATACGGGCAATACGAGCATCAACAACAACAATGTCGACAACAATTAGAGCGCTTAGAACAACGGCAACAAGCAAGGACGACAACAGCAACAGCAGCAGCAGCAGCAGCAGCAGCAGCGGCATCTCACCTGTCCGGCAACATATTGGTAAACATTGCAAACGACACAGGTAACGAAGGCACCCTCCTTGTGTGTATGACAGCTCATATTGGTAATTATTTGCATATAGGTAGAGGAGCACAATAAACAATTGACTGGGCAAACAACACTAGTTGGAGGGAAAAAGAGATGATGCTGCTATTAGAGTGTTAGCCAATCTGTCAAATGCGTTGATTAGCTCCACTCTCCACTCTGCCAATAGGGGTTAAGGAGGGGGTAGCAGGAGTACCAGCTGAGTGTGCTGCATTCCAATGCAATTGAGCTGAATGAAAAGAACTAAAATGCGTTCGCTCTTAGCTGCAAATGAAATAGAATGCTCGACATGCACTGTGAAGGTGTGTGTGTGTTCAGATTGCGTGTGTGTGTGTGTGTGTGTGGATTGTGGATCGGACTAGAGCAATTTGGCTTATATCTTTTATGGAGCAACACAAACAATTTGCACGTAAAAGCAATAAAGTGTGCACATGATTTGGTCCTTTTGTGAAGGTAAATGCAGAGCAGCGGCGAAATAAAATAGAGCCACTTGACGGCAACAGCTACGTCTGGGGTATGCCACGTGTCTGCTTCCAAGCCAGGAAAAGCCAATCCAAAGGCCAGACGATAACGAGATGTAGACAGAGACGTGTGTAAGTCGGATGGAGATGCGGATGGGGATGTGCCTGGGTGTGGGCATGAGTGCGATATCATTTCAAATTGTTTTCCATCAAATGTGACTTGCATCTGTAATTTGTATGCAAACGAGTAGCGAGTAGCGATGCCGTCGTAGTTATTGGTGTATTGACTGATTCGTGATTGACAGCACACATGGCTAGCACTGAAACGGTATCCGAAACAAAAAGCCGTGAGAAAATGCTGATTCAAGTAAAAAATAAGAAACAGAGTCTTGCCTAAAATCTCAGTGCCTTTGGTTACGGCATTTGTTGATTCGATTTTGATCACCTCTTGAGCTTGTAATGACGTAAAAATGCTTATCATAAAGAAATCGATTTCAGTTTGCTTTGCTTGCATTTCAAATATCAGACACACAATGAGCTTAATTCATAGTTTTTCGACAGTCTCTACCAGTCCTTGAAACTGAATTTCTTATCAATTTTTTTTAAACTATTGCGATGAGAGAAGGATGTTCAAATCACTTGAGTACACAGCAGACCCTGACTTGTGCATTCAATATTATGATTAAT